TTGAAGCTAACCTAGACAAGATCAGAGTCATCTTGGAGATGAAGTCCCCAGCCTCAACAAAGGAGGTCCAACACTTTTACGGGAGGATAGCAGTCCTCAACATGCTTGTCTCTAAATCAATAAATAAGTGCCCGCCTTTCTTTAAAATCGTTTGTAGGTCTTTCCAATGGGGACCAGATGCAGAGGAGGCCTTCCAGAAGCTAAAGGCCTACCTCGTCACACCACCTTTGCTCTCTCATGCTGTATCAAGAGAGACCTTATATTTCTATCTCTCTTCTTCACCCTTTACCGTGAGCTCTGTCTTCATTAGGGAGGATGGTGGCATCTAGAAGCCTATATACTACGTAAGCAGGGTTGAAAATTTGGGTCTCGCACTTGTCACTATGGCCAAGCGCCTATGCCACTACTTTCAGAGCCACACCGTCATGGTTGTTACAGATCAACCACTCAAAAGAATTTTGGGAAATCCTGATGTATCCGGTCGACTACTCAACTGGCCGTCGAGTTAAGTGAGTTCGATGTGCAGTATTAATCGAGGGTTGTCATCAAAGTACAAGCACTTGCGGACTTTGTGGCCTAGTCTACATCATCACAGAAGTCCGAGGAGGAAGTATCAGGCGCCTCTGCGCCCGCCTGTTCAATACACACTGCCTCCACCCACCATGAGGCTAGCCCAAACGCTACCCTAAGAGGACCTGTCGTCTCGGAGATGGCTCCACAACCTGGGCAGACCAAGGTATCGCTTGTGCAGCCTAGGGTCTTGAGCAAAATGGCCTTGAGCAAAATGGGCGCCACCCTCTCCGCCTTGACCGCGGCCCATAAGGGAATGGGCACCTCATGCTTCTTCTCCACCACTGGCGTCGCTCATGTCCTTTCCCACCTCCTTCGAGCTCTTGGTCCTCATTATCTCATTTTGATTTGGAGAAAAATGGATTTGGGGAAGAATAACTTAAGCCTCCAAAGAAAATAGAAGAGGAAATGGAGTGGGGGAGTCTAAAGGCTTCAATATATAAGCAAGATTCTTTCGAGATTGACGAAAGACCCAGCAAAAGAAATGCAATCAAATGCAAAAAGTCACCCTCGGTGTCAATAGGTTCAACAGAGTCCCTGAAGGTGAAAAGGCGCCGTGGGGAACAACAGAACTTTTGTTCATCCACGTGAAGAAGAAGCTCATGCCCTCAACCCCCTTCTCTCGCAAACAGTCAAAGGCTTGGGGCATGGGTGACAAATGATGAGCCCAAATCTAATTGGACCAGGTCTAATAAATCAAACAAGCCCAAGTTAGCTAAAAGCCAGCCTTAGCCTGTTTTATCAATCCGACCTAGTCCAAGATCCAAGGAGCCCAGGAAGATAAGTGCACGTGTAAGAGAGATTATCGGGATGCATACTCACGAAGATCAATCCTACCTTAATTGTATTTACATTTTGTAACTATCCTCCTCGAAGAAGTAGTGTCCTCATATTCACGTCACCGTCTCACCATACCTATAAATTATATGCTCTCTTCATATGGAGAGACACATCTCCTAACAAACCTTGACACTTCTCTGCACACATAGCTTCTCTCTCCTAGTTATTATACCTCTTCCGGAGCATACATCTCTCGAAACTTTCTCTCTGTTACTTTATTCATCAATAAAGGACCCCGGTCACCGTTGCCGTTTTTCAAGAGTGGAGTAGGTCACCTAGACCGAACTATTATATATCTGTATGTTGACCTGATATTTACTATTTTTTCATTAATTATTTTATTTATTGTCCATTAATTACACCTTATCACATACTCGACTGTTGATTTTGCACGAGATCAATATGTGCATTATCAAGAAGCGTGATTTCTATCATTATATTATTCCAATGAATTTTTATCATTTTAAAGTGTTGTATGATAATTTTTTATAAAATTAATAATCATATTATCACTCATTTGGTTAGATAATCGAGTTTTTATAATTTTTATAGTTAAAAATAAGTGTTCTATAATAAAAATTACAATAGATAAACTCTGTGTCAAAATTTCATTCATTTCTAACTCCTCTGCTATCATCTGTTACCCACAACGTCGCTTGACCACTCTTCACGCATTACCATTCATATATAAAATTTAAATATTATTTGATAAAATTTAAGAATAATTGAATAAATTTGGTCTTAATTTGATAAATTTAAATATTAATTTGGTAATTGAATAAATTTAAATGCTGCTTTAATGAAACTGAAAGCTCATTTGATGTTAAATTAAATAACTGACATTATTTTGATAAGGTTAAATGTTAAATTAAATAACTGACATTAATTTGATAAGGTTAAATGTTAAGTTAATGAAATTTAATATTCTATTTAATATATTAAATTTTAATTTAATTTAATAAATTAAATATTAATTTTGTGTTGATTTGATGAAATTAAATAATAATTTAATGTTAAATTAAAGAGATAATATTAATTTGATGAAATAAAATATTAAATTAATATAACTAAATGTTAATTTGTGTTGATTTGATGAGATGGAATATTAATTTAGTTTAAATTAAATAAATGACATTAATTTGATAAAATTAAATGTTAAATTGATGAATTTAAAGGTTAATATAATAAAACTAAAAGGGAGTGTATTGAAATTTCAGAATCGGGAGGGATATTGTTAAAGATAGGCCTATTTATAGGGAGTGTCGTTGAAATTATGTCTATTTATAAGGGATGTGGTTAAAATTTATTTTATAAAATATTTAGGGGTATTTTTGTAACCCGATAAACACTGACAGGGAATGACAGTGAAATTTCTAAATCGGGAGGGGTGACCTAATTACAGGGGGTGTGGATGAAATTTTTCCTTTAAATATTGACTTTGTGGACACAATATAGAATATTCGGTCCTTTTTTTTTCCTAAGGGGAACAGACTAATCCTTCAACAAGTCATGTTTTATGGTCTCTGATCATTATGAGTCTATAATTTTTTAGTGCCGTTTTATAATTTATCATTTTGTAGATCCTTTTGTTTTAGCATGCTTATGCAGTAATATAGCATGATCGGAGATTTATGATAAATTGTCATTTGAGGTTGTAAATTTTTTCCAGCAGGTTTAGCCTATGTATTATTGTAGATTCTCTATCTTTTGTGTGATCATAAAATACTGCTTCTAAGACTCTGATATACGTCAGTTTTGTGTTAATGCTGCGTATATTCGATCTTCTTTCTCCTATTTTTCCTGTTTTGACTAATGAATCTTGGATCTTTACTGAAACCCCAATAGTGTTTGTGCTATTTCTGGGTTTAGTTGATGTCTAATACCAATCAACCCCCTGGTCGGAAAAAACATGCACAAACACACCTTGAACCTTAGGAGTGTTAATATTAAATGTTTGTGAAAACAGAAAATTATTGAGATTAATGGGATCCCTTGGTTCTCTACACTTTTGTGGTCCCATAATATATTTACGAACCACCCGCATTGAATTGCAACTAATGGGTTTAACAAATACCTATTATCCAAGGCAAAAACAGAAATACTTTAGACACATAACATACTACCACTTCTTGGCAGAGTGGTGAAGGGAAGTTGGTTGGAACAAGGATATAATGAACGAAAGGGGTTTAACAAAAATAAACTGTTGATTTGCTCACAAATACAAGTTTAGATTCCTAGGTTAGACCTATTGATTCACACAGAATACTAGTGCTAAAGGTTTCAATAAATCTGTTGATTCTTACTAATAACAAAATAATTGAGAAGAAAAGAGATATCTTTTAATCAATCAAAAACTTCCTTTGCTCTAAGGCTTATAAGATTTTAAATAGTAGTAGAAATCCTAAAGTAATTAGGAAAATAGAATGTTAAATAAATTTGGAAACCAAATAAAATAAAATCCTAATTAAACAAAAAATAAAAATAAAATAATTTCCTCATTAAGTTAGAAAATAAAATAAAATCTTATTGAATTTCCTAACTGAATTGGGATGGACTACATTCAAATAATATATCGAAATTTTTGTCGCTCATTCTGCATCATTCCCTCCAATTATAAAGAAATCTCCCTCGAATTCATTTTGATATGAGAGTCTTTGCTTGAATTTAGAATTACAACCAATCTATTGAATTTGAATTCGATATTTTATTCTTCATTTGAATTTCAGTTATTGACTAGTCCATCGAAATTCATAGCTATCAAAAAGCCACCTACACTTTTCCTGGGAGGTTGAACCAAAGACATTATGCATCCTTGGAAAACCTTGATATTGATCAACTCATACTGTTTGAGCACTTTCTCATTCATTTATTTAGTGGTTACCTTGGGAGGTCCCTCTATGAACTTATATCATTTCCTTCTTATATTCTCACATTGTTTGGCAAGCAGTAACTGTCGAAACTCCACCTTCACATTAGACACTTGAGTGGAAGGACATATCATATTATTGTTACTTTGTAGATGCTTCAAAGAAAACTCTAACACTTGCTCATCAAAAGATCTGACACTTGCTCATCAAAAGTATAGTCAAATCTCTTGTCACAACGTGAAGAATATTTGGTTTATGCGACAACTACCTTGTTATTTTTCGTGGAATCTGGAAAATAATTATCTTCGGGATGTTCATTATATTCGAGATATCAAAATCATTTTTGACATTGAATAAAAACTCGTCCTCGGAATAGTCATCAAATATTGGGGGTAAATCTCAATCAATTTCTGACTGTGGAGAAGATGAATAGGCATCTAAAAATACCTTATTTGACTCCGTATAAAAAGCTTGAATCTCTTCTGGGATCACAGCTACAACAACTTTATTGTTGGAATGACCTCTTCTCAATCTTCCATCCACATGTATCAATTGATTTTTGACACTCCATAAGAAATTGTGAATCAAAAGATTTATTGAGGCCTTTAGGATTTGTATTCTGTGAGAATCAACATGACTAGAGTAGGAATCTAAATTGGTTTTTGTGCGCAAATCAACGGTTTATTTTTGTTATCCCCAATTTTATTCTTACCTGCTTTCCAGCTTCCCCACATTAGTTGATATCAGAGCCCAGTTATGTTCTTGCTACCATGCCACTCAGAAGAAAACATGTGGAGGAAATCTACGAGGATGAGAAAAATGCGAGGGACGTGAATCTGGTGGATATGGATGTACAATAGCACCAACCACAGCGGTGATCCCAAAATCCATGATAGGTGGAGGGGGAGGAAGAGGATCTGGTGGATATGGATGAGATATCGGAGGAGATCCGAGATTTGGACAGGAACTTGGAAGAGGTATGTGATTCATCTTCTTTGCAATTATAAGTTCATTGGAATTCACTTCCAATATATGATGAGCACTCAAAGGATGACCATTTTAAAGATGACTCTCTGTTCACTGTCAAAAACAATTGTGATATCCTGATATATGATTAATATTTGAGAGATGAGGGAGTTTATGACGATTCAATTGATTTCTTTTGTGAGAACACTGTATCGTTAAAAGAGAAAAAGGTAGAAGAGCTGCAAGGTTATTCGACCATCATTGAAAAAGAGTCACCTACTCAAGAGGAACAAAATATAAAATTTGTTGATCTAATAGCTGATATTCTCATAATGGTTGAAATCTCTCGCCGACTACATTTTTTGGTAGATGAAAACAAGAAAGGGAAGCAGTTGGTGTTAATTCTATTGAGTTGGTGTGATTTATTCTCTAGTGGTATGATATGCACTCTTGACCCTTTTACTCAAATTTTATAGAGTCCATAGAGCAATTAGTCAGTTACTTTGATTTCTTTGATGCCACAACTTTTTGAGTTTAAAATGTTTAATACTATGGATATTGGGGGTGGTCGAAAATGCAAGTTTAAGCAAGTATGAGAGTATCAAATCTAGATTCAATGGAATTGTCGAAAGCCTGAATTCAAGCGAAGAATCAAATTTCGAAACGAATTCGGGGGTGAATTCTTTCTAACATGGGGGGAATGATGCAAAATGCAAGACGAGATTTCGGGCTAACGTAATCAATGTGGTTTGAGCGGGTTGATTATATTCTAGTTAAATCAATTGGATAATTTCTAGGAGATATTTATTTATTTCCTAATTTAAAAGGGAAGTTGCTTAATTTTATTTTTTTGTCTTATTTAGGATTTTTTTTATTTGGTTTCCTAATTATATAGGATTTTTATTTCCTAGTTTGTTTAGGCTTTCTACTACTATATAAGTTTTTTGAAACCTTAAGGCAAATGAGTTTTTTTTATTGATTAATATAATTGAGAGAGTTATCTCTTTTCTTCCCTATTATTATGATATTCATAAGAATCAACAGATTTATCGAAACCTTTATGACTTTTATTCTGTGTGAATTAGCATGTCTAGAGTAGGAATTTAAACTAGTATTTGTCCGCAAATTAATGGTTTATTTTCGTTTTCTCCGTTTAGTTCATTATACCATTGTTCCTACCTGCATCACAGAGTTTATTAAAACATGATACTTTTGCTGACTTTGGAGCACGACTTATGTTTTTGTGGCATTTTTATTTCTTGGTCTTAAAGCAGTATATAATACCAAGTTAATAAGAGTAAATTATGTGATTTTAGTGGCTAAAGTATACTGCATTGGATCTGTCTATCACTCCATGCTACATTTGGAATGGGAGGAGCAAGGAAATTTAGTATTAATTATAAGGATGCTCATTCCCTTTCTAATGAATTGTCATTATTTTTCTAGTCAAGTTTTGGGTGATTATGTGTTTTGGCACGTCTGCACAAAATGTGTGTTTACATAAATAAAAGGGTAAATTACATTGAGACCCCTTCTAAGGTTTGTCACTAAATCATACAGATTCCCTCAGGTATGAAAAATAACACAATACTCCCTTGAGGTTTGGTTTCTTATAACACCTAGCCCCAAACTGTTATCATTCGTTTGAGAAGTCATCCAACTTTGATGACATCAGCGTATTTTAAACACAAAATTCCTAAACTACCCATTCAAGATCTACCATTATAAAAACTAAACTATAACAAAAAAACTCAATAATTTTTAAATTTTTGTAAAACCCCAACTCAACTAATCCATTAATTAAACAATTAACCACACTAAATTGACATCATTTATTTTATTAAGTTCATATAAGTAGTTGCATTAATTCTGTTGATTAACCCATTAATCAAGTTAGTTAACTTAAAAACAAAAACTAAAAAAGCTATTTTACTTCATTATTTTGTCAAGCTAATTTAAGTAATGGAAAACCCCTTTAATTAAGCAATTAATCCTATAAAATTTAGTTAAGCTGATTTGAAAAATTAAATCCATTAATTGAGTTATTAACCCCATTAATTGTTGACCTAAAAAACCCTATTAATTGAGTACTTGACCCTTAATTATTCATTTAGTGAACTTATATAATTAAATCCCATTACATTTGATTTTTATCCGAGGGTAGCATAGTCATTTTGTAAATCCTGTTAGGTCTGTGAACTTTAACAGGTTGACGGTGGGTGCCAGTGTAATTTTCCATACCTGAGGTAGTCTGTGTGATTTAGTGACAAACCTCAGGGGCTCTTAATGTAACTTACCCTAAATAAAATGTATGTGATGGTATATTTAGATAACTTAAGTTTGTCATTGGTGGCCTTGTCTTTGTTTTCTGTTCTTTCTTCTTCGGGACTGTGTTGTGCTAGATGGGTATGCCCTTTTTTCCTCCTGTTATTTTATTCAGTCAATGTTAGTTTACTTGCCATCCGAACCCCAAAACAATTCTCCCAAAAAAAAAGAGAAAAATTTGCAATTTTAGTTTGCATAAGTCTTTATGGTTCCACACTTTTCATAATTTGAGTCATTAGGACATGTGCAATTTAAGCAAAAGTTAGGTAGATTTAGAAAGTAGTAGATTCTATTTTTCTGCATTTGATTCTATACATATAGGGAACTTTGGTTCATTCTATAATTAAAAAGAAAATACTGAACCTTTGAGATAATGCCTAATATGATGCAGTGTTTCTCTCTACTAATTGTGCAATTCAGCATCTATTTTCTGCATTTGGTATTATTTATTTTGCACTGACATTGCAGAGATTGAGATTTTTAATTTTGGTTCCAGATATTGAGAGCCAATTTATGCTTTTTCTTTTCTTTGGGGATACAGCTATTTTTGCCTATTATCATAGTATAGTGGTTCCTTAATAGTTTCAAAATTTCCGTCTGTAGACTATGTTTGTGTGTGTCTCTGTAAGTTGAATAGTTATTATAGTTTGAAGATGAGTGTGGCTTTTCTTAAGTACAAGTAATGATAATTTGATTTTGTGCGGATTGTTTCACATGATGCTAATTTTTCCCTCTCTTTTTTGGATAGATTCTTGCTTGAGTCCTAACATCTATTGTAATGAAGAATCTATGGTGCTAAATTTTTTTGATCAGCTATCTATTGTGTTGAAACCCCCTCAGTGCATTTTTTCATAGATGTTAACAAAGTACCTCTGTTTTTCAGCTGCTGCCCGGGGAAAGTGTGCAAACTGTATTTTTATGATTTTGTGTTTAATGTTTTGATTGAACATTGACTTTTATTATGTGGGGTTACTTATTTAGGAAATGTCGTAAGAGTTTTAGCACGGTATCAGGGAAAACCTCACAAGGCAAGGCTGGTCTTGTTGGATGTAAAACATTCCGTTGTGTATTTTCTTCCTCGGCTTCTGCACATGGTAATATATCTACTCTGTTCCTGTATACCACTCTATCAGATCCCCAGTGTGTATCTGTGTGCTTCTGCACCACATGTTCATGCATATGTGCCTTACTTCCACTTTTGTAATTAATCATTTTGTTGTAGACTTGAGATGTTTTGATATAGAAAAGGAGAAACAAGATGGTGCCTCTCCTAGGGGTGTCATTGAAGCATGCATATTGGGTTTGGATAGTGAATCAGGTTCTCCTAAAACTAACACTTCGGAAAGTGAATTACATTCTTATTCACGGGCGCCTTCTCGCTGGCACAGATTCTTCAAACTATGGAAAAGAAGCCCATTTAGGAGGTTACCCTCCTTTCCTCCTCTTGCCGTGCCAAGAAGAAAGAGCATATGTGCAAGAGAAAAATTGAATTCTGATTTAATCCATTTCAAGTCTGCATGGAAGAACTTCACCCTCTCGGACCTCCAGACTGCTACCAACAATTTTAGCCAAGGTCTGTAATTTGTTCGCAAGATATTGGTCAACAATCCAAAAATTATGGTCTGATGTCCCTTATTTCCATATGGTATCTAAAGGTCTCAACTGTATGCTTATCAACTTTACAAAGAAGTTCTGTTTATTTCAGTTTCCTGGTGGAAATATCACTAAAATTGCAATCCTAACAATGACAAGTTCATATGTTTAAAGATGTTTTTTCTTGTAGACAATTTGATTGGTACAGGTGGTTATGCTGAAGTTTACAAAGGCTGCTTGCCAGATGGGCAACTTGTAGCAATTAAGCGGCTCAACAAAGGGACTCAAGAGGAGCGGATAAAAGGCTTTTTATCTGAGATTGGCATTATAGCCCATGTAAATCATCCTAATACTGCTAAGTTGATTGGGTATGGAGTTGAAGGAGGAACTTATCTCGTCCTTCACTTGTCTCCGCTTGGGAGTTTAGGATCACTTCTTCATGGTTTGTTAATATCTGATATTATAGAACTTAGTATAGATTACTCTGCGTTTTCTTGTTGGCTGGGAACTCCCCTCTTGTTTCTTCAATATGATCTTCTTCAAGTCCAAAAATTGTTCCTTTACTTCTTTTAATCATTCCAGGTTCAAAGGAAAGACTAGATTGGGGTGTGAGGTACAAGATTATTCAAGGGACAGCTGATGGCCTCCTGTATCTTCATGAGAATTGCCAAAGGCGAATTATTCACAAAGATATTAAGGCTGATAATATTCTACTTACAGAGAATTATGAGCCACAGGTATCTTTTAGTTTTCTACTTAAATGAAAGTCGTATTTGAAAAGTTCTGAATTCAATTTCATTTGGACATTTAGTTATACATGACAGTATAACTTATTAATTATATAAATAATGATGAGATTTGGTGTATAGAATCTACATGTGTATGAATATTGTTCTTGAGGTGCCAATGATAAAGCCAACTAATGTAGATTGCAAAAACCAATCAACTATATCCAGTAACCCAACGAAATTAGAAGAATGAAACCTATGTTCACATCTACTGCCTTGCTACTCAAAAATTCATAAGGCTTACATATCATTATAACTTGTGTATGTTGATATGATTATCTAATATCGCTCTTAAAATTTTAGCTCTTCTACGAGTATTTCAGATCAATGCGGTATCTTTAAAAGGTACACTTATCATACATGTGCCCCATTGCACAACTGTTTAATTTCTTTTTTCTTTGACATATGTCAAATTATTGGTTGAACTCCATTTGTGGAATTCTACTTAACGACGGCGTCATTGCTGTTATTTGTGTTAGAGTAGTCTAGTATATTAGTATTAGGGGTAGATTAGTCATTTATATTATTACGTTTTGCCCTAGTATATAAGTCTATTATTGTGTAGTTTGTCTTTCTTATAAGACTGTAATACAGATCTGGTTATTCTTAATGAACATGTTTTTCTTTTTCATTGATAAATATTAACATGGTATCAGAGTCCTTAAACCCAAATAATAATTCATGATTGAAGTTTAGAAATAGACCTGGTGAACCCGACGTGAGGAACTGGTGAAGAGTTGGTGAACTAGATGATAGACAGCTGCTGACGTCACCATCGCCGGCGATAACGTCATCAGTTTTCGACTGTGAAGACCACTACCAGGATCGATTCTTCATGGGCTTCTCATTAGTGTGCTTCTCTTTTTGTTTCGAGTTCATCTGGTAAGGGTTTCTATTTTTCTAAATATTTTTAGAAAAATACGTATAAAATCTTCGATCTGCTGTACTTGGTATTTTTTGCCAAAATTTATGGTTCCAATCAACCAAGAGAGGTGCGACTAAGAGTGTAGAATGTTCATCTGAGTGACTCAAGGTAGTTTAGTTGATTTGGGATGAGATTTGGATGATTTGAGTTGTTCGGCGGTTTGAAATTGAGCTTCGGCTTTACTGTTCTTGGCTTGGCTGTTTCTTTTCTTTACACTGATCTGTTTTCTTGGCTTGTCTGAGCACCAAATTTGTTTTATTCTCTTGGCTGAGCATTGACTGCGTTCTTCTCCCTTTGGCTTGGCTGTTTATCGCCTTCATAGTGACCTGTTTCAGACTACAGTGCACCGACTGCTTTCTATGGTTTCTGATTTAGGAAGTAATTGTTTATTGAGTTGCTGGGTGGATAGATTGCTGCTGAATATCTATTTTTATTGTTGTTTTCTGCTTTAGTTTGGATATTATTTTCCTGTGAGCATTAACCTTTGTTAACATTATGGCAAGTGGACATTCTGATTCTCTTCGGGCTATTATTGTCAGATTAAATGTTGAAAATTATGTATATTGGTCTTATATGATGAAAAATTTCTTGCTGGGAAAAGAGATGTGGAGTTATGTTAGTAGTGCTTTGAAAGCTCCAACAGATCCGAAGGTAGAGAAATATGATGAGTTAAAGAATACTTGGGAAGTCAATAATGCTAAAATCATCACTTGGATTAACAACTCAGTTGATTAGACTATTGGTGTGCATTTGGCTAAGTTCAACACATCTAAGGAGATTTGAGATTATTTAGCTACACTGTTTGTTCAGTCTAATTTTGCAAAGAGATATTAGCTTGAGCATGAAATTCGAGTTGCACATTAGGGTGATAAGACCATAAAGGAGTTTTACTTAGTTATGACTAGATTTTGGGATTAGTTAGCCCTTTCTGAATTGAGTACTCATATGATGTATCGTATTTTTAGGGAAGAGCAGTGGTTGGTGCAATTTTTGATGGCCCTTAGAGATGACTTTGAGGGACTTCATGGTTTTATTCTTCATCACCTCCTACTTCCCACAGTTGATGCACTAGTGAATGAGCTTTANATATTTTTAGGGAAGAGCAGTGGTTGGTGCAATTTTTGATGGCCCTTAGAGATGACTTTGAGGGACTTCATGATTTTATTCTTCATCACCTCCTACTTCCCACAGTTGATGCACTAGTGAATGAGCTTTAGACCGAAGAAGTTCATCTTAAAACTCTTTTTGGAAAGGGCCTTTTTCCATTGCCTAATCAGATTGTACTAACTGTACCACCCAGAGGGACTTCTCATTCACAGACTAAATATCGGGGTTGAGCCGCTTCAGATGAGTGTAGTTTTTGTCGTGAGAAGTGTCATTGGAAGTAAGGATTAAAATATCGTTTTGGTCACCTAGAAAACGGAAACGTTTTGACGTGTTTCAGAAACGTTTTGACTCGTTTCGAAAACATAATAAAAAAAATAAAAAATTTAAGAATTTAAGAATTATTTTTCTAAAACATTGATAAAAATATATCAAAATATCTTGAAATACTTTGAAACATTCTAAAACAATTGTGCAAATGCATTGAAATATTATAATACATTTAAAAACACTATGGAATACCACAAAATATCAAAATTTCGATTCCATCACTGTTTCGTTTCGGTTTCCTTAAAAACGGAAACGTTTCGGACGTTTCGACCGTTTCGAAATGATATTTTGATCCTTGACTGGAATGTTCAATGTCCTAAATTGATGAACAAGAGTGGCAAAGGGGTGTTACATCAACCATTTAAGCCCAAAGATCGTCATATGGCTGCAGCTACTTCCCCAGTGGATGAGTTACTCCTATCAGTTCTCAGCATGACTATGATAGCTGATCAGCTGCAAAAGCTTCTTTCCCTACATCAACTACGTGCCCTATTAGTTTCTCCCTCCACAGATTCATTCACTACAGGTCCTTTAGGTAAGTGTCGAACTGCCTAGGTCTTTGACTCTGGAGCTATCCATCATATGACTAGTAATTCCTTCTTATTTGTTTCTATTGTTTCTCTTCCCTCTATATCTATCCTTGTAGCCAATGGCACCCAAATGTCTTTGGGTGGTGTTGGAACTTTTGTGTCTTGCCAGATTTCCTGATGTCTATTATATTCCTCAACTTACTTTAAATTTACTCTTTGTTAGTCAGTTGTTTGATTCGGGATTTTTAGTTCACTTTTTTTCTACTGGTTGTGTTGTGCAGGATCTACAATCCAAGAAGCTGATTGGGACAGGCCATAAAAATGGAGGGTTGTATGTGTTGGAGGAGCTTCATATCCCTGAAGTTGTTGCATCTACTGTTGATCTATCTTCTTTTCAATTGAGTCCAAAATCGTCTAATGTTTATTTATGGCATTCTCGTTTAGGTCATGTTTCTTATTCTCGTTTAAAATTTTTAGCTTCTACTAGTAGTTTAGATAGTTTAGAGTGTCATGATATTTCAGATTGTAGTGGGTGCAAGTTGGCTAAATTTACTGCATTACCTTTCAATAAAAGTAATTCTCGTTCTCTTGCACCTTTTAATCTTGTACATTATGATATTTGGGGATTAACTCCTCTTGCTACTAAAGGGGGGTCTAGATATTATGTCTCTTTTATTGATGATCATACTAGATATTGTTGGGTGTATTTGATAACACGTAGGTATGAGTTCTTTTCAATTTTCACTACCTTTCGTGCTATGGCGCGTACTCAATATTCTTTTATCATCAAATTTTTTTGCTGTGATCAAAGTGGAGAATATACTTTTAGTGCTTTTCGTGATTTATTAAAATCTGATGGTACTATTTTTCATGCTTTTTGTACCGACATACCTGCTCAGAATGGAGTGGCTAAACGGAAACATAACCGTATTATTGAGACAACCCATTCTCTGTTATTGTCATCCAGTGTCTTTGGCTATTTTTGGGGAGAATTAGTCCTTACAGTAGTTCACCTGAATAATTGCATTCCTACAATCCTTAATTTTGGTGTCTCCCCTTTTGAAAAATTATGTGGTAAGATACTCGACTATTTCTCCTTACATGTGTTTAGATGTACATGCTTTGTTCTGCTACCTATCGTTAATCGTACCAAACTCTCGGCTCGCTCTGCCTCATGTGTTTTTCTTGGCTACGGTGAGGGACAAAAGGGATTTCGTTGTTATGATCCTAGTATATAAAAATTCTATGTGTCTCGCCATGTTGTTTTTATGGAGCATATTCCTTTTTTCTCTATTTCGTCTAGTTCTTCATCTCTGCATAAATCTGATCTTATCTATCTTGATCCCTTTCCCTCTAATGTTTTCCCTAATTCCTATGTTGAAGATATGACTGTGGCTGATCTTTCCTCATCTTCTTCTTCTTCCTCTTTGCCTGATTTGTCTGTTGCTCGCCCTCTTATTGTGCATGCTTATGTTTGTAGGACTCCCACTATGGTCTTAAATAGGCCCCAAGGGCATAGTTTGCAAAATTTTCGTCAGTCATTTGTGACTTGGGCTTCTGTGCTAGTGATCATGATTCTGCTATCTTCATTCGATCCACGTCTTCTGGTTTCATTCTTTTGTTACTTTATGTGGATGACATGATTATTACAGGTGATAATATTGTTAGGATTCAGCTGTTGAAAACTCAATTATAGGATTATTTTGAGATGAAAGATTTGGGTCCACTTCGATATCTCTTAAGGATTGAGGTTGCTTCCTCTCCCAAGGGTTATCTTCTTTCTCAGTCAAAATATGTTTTGGATGTTATTTAGTGAGCTTGCTTATCGGATACTCGAACGGTTAACACACTAATGGAGCTCAACATTCGTTATACTTCCTCTGATGGTTCTCTCTTGCCTGATCCTATCTTATATCGTACTATTGTTAGGAGTTTGGTATATCTTACTGTTACTCGTCCAGATATTGCTTATGTGGTTAGTCAGTTTATTTCTGCTCCTACTGTATTTCACTGGTCTGCTGTTCTTCGGATTCTTTGATATCTACGGGGTACGTTACATCAGAGTTTATTATTTTCTTCCTCTTTGTCTATGGAGGTTCCTGCTTATTCTGATGCGGACTGGGCTGGTGACTCTATGGATCGCATATCCACCGCTGGTTTTTGTCTATTTCTTAGTGATTCTCTTATTTCCTGAAAAAGCAAGAAACAAACTGTTGTAGCTTGATCTTCTGCTGAAGCTGAGTATCGTGTCATGGCATCGACCACAACAGAGATAGTTTGGTTGCGTTGGTTACTTGCTGATCTTGGCATTTTCTTGACAACTTCTACTCCTATGTATTGTGATAACACCAGTGCTATCCAGATTGCTCACAACTTAGTGTTTCATGAGCGCACCAAACATATAGAGATTGATTGTCACTTTGTGCGCCATCATCTTCAGTTGAGCACGATCT